CAAGAAAATTAAGTGCAGGAAATTACATTAATTCAGCTTTGCAAAAATCAATTTGCTCTTATCTTGTGCAAGAAAATATGTTTAATGGGGAGGTAAAATATCTTTTATTATTTATTATTTTATTTATTATAACTTTTGCTGTAGTTTAGGGAGCATGAGGAGATTTTAATTTGGGGCTGGTAATTTTCATGAAAGCTGAGTTAGTGCAGTCTCATTAAGGCTTCTGTCCTGTAAACACTTAAGACCTGATCCTACAGTTACTCCTCAGGGCATTCTGCACCAAATAATTAAAAATTATGTGCACAATATTTTAAAATTCTGCAATATTTTATTTGTCAAATAAATGTGGAGGCTCCAGCATGGCATTGGGGAGCACAGGCCACTGGCTGCACAGAGGTGGGAGATCACTGTGTAGCTCTCCCCCAGGACACGGATTCAGTGGTGAGGCTGCACCCAACCCTGACACAATGCAAGGATCAGGCCTGCCCCAGAAACACCCCAGGGCCCTGCCGTTCCATGCCAGGTCCACCAGGTGTGAGCAGGCAAGATCCAAGTGTGGGGGGGGATCCATTGTTTGTTGAGAGGGTTCTTTGTGGGACAATATGGGTGTGGGTGGCTCAGTGGTGGATCTGGGTGCGGGGGGGATCTGGATGCACAGGGTCTTGTTGGGGGGTCCTGGGTGCAACAATAATGGGACACTGTAGGGGGGGTCCAGGTGAAGGTGGTTGGGGCTCAGCAGGGGGTGTCTGGGTGTGGGGGGGATAGAGCTCGGCAGAGGGGCCTGGGTGTGGAGGGCTCAGTGCAGGGAGGTCCAGATACTGGGTGAAGGATACCCAAAACATACTGCTGGGGCGGGTCTTATGACCACTCTTGTGGCTTCCTTTTGCTTCCCTGTCAAGAAAGTCATTTTTCTGTAGGGAAGCAAAGAAATCTTCGTGGGACACACATTCTGCACATATGCACTGGTGCCGAATTCCCCTGGAACTATACGGTGAGCTCTATCTGTATGTCTACACTACAAATAAACACCTACAGCTGGTCCATGTCAGCTGACTCAGGCTCGTTGGGCTTGGGCTAACGGACTGTTTAATTTCAATCTAGGCAGTCAGGTTGGGGTGGAGCCTGGGCTCAAGCTGGAGTCGAGGATCTAGGACCCTGTAACACGGAAGGTTCCTAGAGCTGAGACAGCAGCCTGAGCTGCAACAAATATACCACAGCTAAACAGCCCCTTTGCCCACACCCTGCCAGCCTGAGTCAGCTGGCACAGGCCAGCCATGGGTTCTTAATTGCAGTGTAGACATGGGCAGACTCCTAGAGCCAAGGATCTTCACAGGTGCTGGGGTCTGTGTGCGTGGAGCTTGTTGTAGGTTCAAAACCTTAAAAAGGTGATTACGTTTTCTCATGCATAATGAGTCGGAGGTAAGGTGTCTGAGTTAATTCAAGTGAATTTCATAGCCTGAGAGCCATGGAGACTGAAACCTTCTATTAATCTGTAAAACAGGAATAGGTAATAGCAGAGCAGTTTCCTCTCCACAGTCCTGTCTATGTCCCTCACTCCTGATGAGGGTAATATTGTCTCTCACTGTTGATGGCTCATGGAATCCTTGGCTTCTCTGCTGTGACTGCCAACGAGACTGTCAGTTAAGTTCCACATATGCTGGTGATATTTGGGTAATGTGGATAATAGTTCAATGGTAACCAGACTGTAATCACCAAAAAACTATTAGAAGATGACTTTTTTGATCACTGCTACTAGCAACGTGGGCTTGATAGCAATTGATGACCTAAGGTATTCCATTTTCACTTTTGGAGTAATCAGACTACTTGGAAAAAGGCAGCAGAGTCTAGAGAGGAATGAATATAGGGATAATCAAGTACCTCTGAGTTCTTTCTAGCACTGGCTCTGATTCCAAATGATAACAGGATTTCCTCATAGATGACGTTAGTAAATACGTTGTCTTATCATTTCATGTCCTTGAGCATTTGTCCTGTGTAGCAACAATAGATATATAATTGCACTCAAAATTTATAATTATCTTGCCAGGGACCCTGATTACTTGTTTGAGACTGAAGATTGACTTGACGACAAATTTTGTGGATAATGTTCACTGAATTTTGAAAATTATATATTTAAACCTATCATTCTGTTTCCTTGGAAACTTAAATGTTTATTGTGCCTAGATATCACGTTTTGTGTTATGGGAGCTGGCCATTTCCAGGGAGTCAGGGACTTGTCTACCTGTGACAGGCTCCGCTAAGGAGAATGAGCCAACCCAGATCCACCTGTCAGTAGTTAATTACCTAGGTGGCTGGGCTGCAGTTAATTAGCTATAGAACACAGGGCCTCATTGAGACTTATGAGGGCTCAGGCAGGGAGCCCCAGAATACTTAGAGAGGATGCTCCTGAGGAAAGAGACTTGTCAGGAGAGCTGGTTAGAGAGCTCACCAGAAAAGGGAATCTAGGAGAGGTGTTGCTGGGGCAGGGAGCAGGTTCCAAAAGGACTATGAGTTGCAAAGTCCTAGAAAGGCTTAGTCCTAGCAGAAGGACCTTTCCAGACAGTGACAAGAGGTCCTGATCCCAGAAGAATAATACGCCACTCCAGAGAATAGCTGCAATGGTTTGACCCCTTTAGGGACCCTGAGTCTAGGGAAGGAACCCTACTCTTGGGTGTTGGCAGTAGGCCTGACTCCAGAATGGGTGTCCCAATAATGAGGTGAAGAGCCTGGGCAGAGGAGACAGGTGGACTTAGATGGGGAATACAAACTAATATTAACTTGCTCCTTTTAGCTAGGATGCTGGGTCTGAAGACTTGCTTGCAGGTGTGTTCGGCCTTGGATTAAATAAATGACATCCCTGAAGGGGCACTGTTTGCTGTAGACAAGCCTAATTGAATTGTGTGTTAGAAGCCTGGCTGGAATGGTGCAAGAAGAGATGAGGGAGAAGAATAGCTGAAAAAATGTAATGAGGGATTTTATAGTTTATCAGGTCATTGCAGTTGTAGAGAGTGTCGTAGGAAAATGAGGGGAAAGGTTAATATTTTTACACAACTGTGGTTGTTGCCATTTTTATTCCTGACTCGTTCAAGTTCGTTTGGAAACAAAATATGGAAGAGGAGCACCTAAGTATATGTCACATGTAGGCAATGTGTATCCAAAAAGCCACAGCTCTTATCTTACTGACCATAACCACTGTTATAGGAAGCATCAGACAGCAACTCAGTGGAAGTAACAGTAAGAAATTAGCAAAGAGGAGCAGATACTTCAGTTTTTGCAACTTCTCCATACAGAATAATAGTATCTTCACTCTTTATTAAGAAGTTTATAAAAATATGGCAATTACTATATGTATTATTGTATCAGAGCTCCCCTCACTCCAAAAGAGTAGAGCAAATTGGCTATCAAAGAGATAGGGGAGAGAGAGAGAAATGAGAGATAATAATGAAGTCATGGTAACAGTATTCTCTGTGAAACTCCAAGCTATGTTTTTGTCTTTGTGGTGTTCCTCTTAGCTGAAGTAGAACACAACTATCCCTGTAAAACACTTCCGTTAGAAAAAACAAACAAAGAAACTAATATTTAGAAGGATAGAGCCCAAGGGAAGATCAGGAATTTGAAGAATGTACAGGATAGAATAAGGTGGTGATGTGTTGCCAAAATTTTTAACAAGGGTGAAGGAATATTGATAATGCAAGATGGAACCTGATGTAAAAATAAGAAAGTAGGTAGTTGTTAGGTAAAATTGGTTATAATTAGCTTTGCTGCTGTTTGGCAAATTAAAGTTGTTTTTATAAGATTAAAGGAAGAGAGGGCGGATGTATCCGAGACAAGTGGAACATTGATTCATACATAGGTAGGGAATATGAAAGGGGAATTTGAACAATGAGTTTTTGCTTAAAGGGCCCATTTGACAGCCAAGACCATGGGACACCTCCTGGATGATGTGGTAGGTCCTCCTTCTAGCTCTGCTATAAGTAGCTAACAGTAAAAACCTTATAACCTTATTTTATAATCTTATATAGTAAAAATCTTAAATTAATCAAACTGTACCGTAGAATCTCTATGGATAGAAATTCCATGCTTGAATAATGAGTATAGCAGAAGGAATATACTATCAACTATCTGACAAGGATGGTGATTGTGAAATGCTCACAGAGATGGGAGAGGCTACAAAAATAGAAAAATCAATAATAACGTGGGATTTCAACTATCCCCATATTGACCAGCTGCATGTCAGCTCAGGACAGGGTGCAGAGACAAATTTCTAGACACCATAAATGACTGCTTCTTGGAGCAGCTAGTCCTGGGCTCCACCAGAGGAGAGGCAGTTCTTGATTTTACCCCCTAAATGGAGCACAGGATCTGGTTCAAGAGGTGAATATATCTGAACTAGCTTGATAACAGCAACCATAATGTAATTAAATTTAACATCCTTTTTGGGGAGGAAATACCCAAGAAGCCCACCACAGTAGCATTTAACTTCAAAAAAGGGAACTACATAAAAAGACCGTGAATCAGACGAGCATCCAACCTGGTAGTTTATTTGTTCAGATATTGGAGAATAAAAAATTAATTTGTAGGGCTGTTGCACGATTAAAAACAATTGCACAATTTAAAAAAATTAATCATGTGATTAATCACACTGTTAAACAACAATAGAATACCATTTCTTTTAAATATTTTTGGATGTTTACTAAATTTTCAAATATTAATTTCAATTACAACACAGAATACAACGTGTACAGTGCTCACTTTATATTTATATTTTATTACAAATATTTGCACTATAATAAAACAGAAGAAATAGTATTTTTCAATTCACCTAATAGAAGTACTTTAGTGCAATCTCTTTATCATGAAATTTAACTTACAAATGTAGAATTATGTACAAAAAATATTTGTATTCAAAAATAAAACAACGCAAAACTTTAGAGCCTATAAGTCCACTCAGTCCTACTTCTTGGTCAGCCAATCGCTCAGACAAAAACAGGTTGGTTACAATTTGCAGGAGGTAATGCTGCCTTAGAATTCAGACATACTCTTTGTTGAAGATAAAGATTCTAAACAATAGTTAATATATAAATGAATCAAATATACAGAAAGAAAGAACTAATAAAGCATTAATATTTACTAACAGGTACTAACGCTGGAGAACCAGGAACTCCTCCTAATAATAGGTCACCCACCACTCTTTTTCTTTCTCCCCCATATTCTTAAGCCTCCACCTGTGACCTGAAACGAGTTTGTGCTTCAGATTCTTATCTATGAAATGGGGGTATTGACTTTGACTTCATGGTGTGCTGTCATTACTGAGTTGATCTGGTTGAAAATCTTTGTTGGAACAGTTTTGTCACTGATTGGCCAGCAGCTAAACATTTTCTTGGAACATATGGATTTTGTCAGAATTTTAGACAGTAAATTAGGGTTGAAATATTTAATTTTATCATTTCAACTTTTGCTACTTATAATAATCAAAATGGAAAAGATGAAACAATGTTTTGATAAGATCAAAACATTTCATGAACAACTCTGAGATTTTGACTTTTTGGCTCAATTTGGCAATAAATGAAATTTCAAAATCTCAGAATTTCGTGCGGGATGGAAATTCCATTTTATTTTATTTTATTTTATTGGCCAGTTAGATTCACCCCTGGTTTACAGTGGCACACTGGACCTGAGAGGAGGAGTTGTGGTGATGCAGGTTGCTTACAACCTCTACTTCACTTGGGGTTTGCAGTCACCTGCTATATTCCAATCATTGGGTGCTGCTAGCTCTGGAGATGTGTAAATCTGGCCAAGATGGTCCAGAGATGTGTAAATCTGCACATGCGTAGGCCTGGTCTACACTGGGGGGGATCGATCTAAGTTACGCAACTTCAGCTATGTGAATAACGTAGCTGAAGTTGACGTACATAGATCTACTTACCGTGGTGTCTTCACTGCAGTAAGTCGATGGCTGATGCTCTCCTGTCGACTCCGCTTGCGCCTCATGCCCTGGTGGAGTACTGGACTTAACGGGAGAGCACTAGACTAGACACGATTAATCGACCCCTGCTGAATCAATTGCTGCATGTCGATCCAGCGGGTAATGTAGACAAGCCCCTAGCCTCTGCTGAATGGATTCTTAAAGGGCCTTGACTGCAATTTAAAATAACCTCTGGGAAGTTGGTGTGCAAATGCTGCCTGAACTGAACCAGGTGTGAAGGACTTCCTCAGGTGTAGGACATGTGCTTGAAAGTCTCCCCCTCCATCTGCAAAATGAAGTTTTTACAGTTTCATGTACAGTTGATCTGGAACAGCATCACCGAAGTATTCCCTCTGGACACCATTCTAAAGGTATCTGGATAAGTGTTATCTGTTTGTTTTCTCTATGTGAGGGGATTGTTTTAAGAGAATTTGCCAGAAGATCCATTTCATTTGGAGACTCTTATCTTGCTGCATGTTTGAACTAAACTTGTCTTATTTAAAAGAGGGAGAAGTGATCCTGCCAAAATATAGGAGCCTTCCTGGTTTAAGATACTATTGAATTTTGCGCACTTGAGTATTTAATTCTGCTGCAAGTGTACATTTATTAATAAAGATGTGTTACACATTTTTGGATTTGATTGTTCTCTGGTCCTTCTATTCCAAGGAAGTATTTACCTGTGTGAATGTATGGGATTAATTTGCACAAGCACCATTATTCCTCATCCAGCACTATTTCATAGATGTTTCAAAAAGCAAAATACAAGTCTACTCTGATTAAGACATGGATCTGGAGCAAGGTAAATTCATAAGTATTTGAGAACCCATGAAATTTATAACAGTAAATCTCTCAAAACAGAAGGCTACTGTGAGACATGGGTGGTGGGAAAGGTAGGGAGCAGTGAATTTACAACATAGAGAAAAATATCTCAAACAAGACATGTTGATATTGTTACTAGTACAAATATGCACTACCATGTGCTGCCTTCAGATTAAGAACAGCCAGCTGCAAGGACAAAACTGTTTCTTCAGGCCGGAATAATAAATCTGAGAAGTATGCATCATGAATAATATCCCCTTTGCACTTCTATCTAATGGAAAAGGACTACATCAAGAGCAACATCCGTTATATTTTCAGGCCTCTAAGTGGGCATTGCAGAGTAGAAGTTTTGTTTTTTTTTTAAAAAAGGCTGTAAAAAGATCCCTTTTAATATTTTAAATTAGTGCTGTCAAGCGATTAAAAAAAATTAATCACGATTAATTGCATGATTAAACAATCAAGATTAATCGTGTGATTAATTGCATTGTTGAACAATAATAGAATACAATTTATTTAAATATTTTTGGATGTTTTCTACATTATCGAATATATTGATTTCAATTACAACACAGAATACAAAGTGTACAGTGCTCACTTTATATTTTGAAGGGTTCATGCACCTGGAAACATTCAGGGCACACCCTGAGTGTTGTGTGGGAGCAGTGCACACACTGCTCCTTCCAAGGGCTTGGACCATGGGAAGTCGCCCAGAGGACATGAACCCTGGGAAGCTTCCTTGGACTGGGCTCAAGGCCTGAGAGCAAGGAGTGTAGTAGATAGAAGCTGGTAAATAAGAATATTAATCAAAGTCATATTATTCCTTTTGTTGTTTCCTTTTGCGGTTGGAGTATGTAATGCGCATGAGTGGAGAAAGAATAAAGGAGAGGCTGGAAAGCCGACACGGCAGACCTTCCCGCTTGCTTGCTAAAAGCTTTGTTTGTCTTGCATTTGAACCACAACAATATTTATTTTTATTACAAATATTTGCACTATAAAAAACAAAAGAAATAGTATTTTTCAATTCACCTAATAGAAGTACTTTAGTGCAATCTCTTTATCATGAAATTTAACTTACAAATGTAGAATTATGTTAAAAAAAACTGCATTCAAAAATAAAAACAACGCAAAACTTTAGAACCTATAAGTCCACTCAGTCCTACTTCTTGGTCAGCCAATCACTCGACAAACAAGGTTGGTTACAATTTGCAGGAGGTAATGCTGCCTTAGAATTCAGACATACTCTTTGTTGAAGATAAAGATTCTAAAGAATAGTTAATATATAAATGAATCAAATATACAGAAAGAAAGAACTAATAAAGCATTAATATTTACTAACAGGTACTAACGCTAGAGAACCAGGAACTCCTCCTAATAATAGGTCACCCACCACTCTTTTTCTTTCTCCCCCATATTCTTATGCCTCCACCTGTGACCTGAAACAAGTTTGTGCTTCAGATTCTTATCTATAAGTCCACTCAATCTTATTTCTTGTTCAGCCAGTCGCTCAGACAAACAAGTTTGTTTACATTTGCAGGAGATAAGGCTGCCCACTTCTTGTTCACAATGTCACCTGAAAGTGAAAACAGGTGTTCTCATGGCACTGTTGTAGCCGGCATTGCAAGATATTTACTTGCCAGATGCGCTAAAGATTCATATGTCCATTCATGCTTCAGTTACCCTTCCAGAGGACATGCGTCCATGTTGATGATGGGTTCTGCTCAATAACAATCCAAAGCAGTGCGGACTGACACATGTTCATTTGCATTATCTGAGTCAGACGCCATCAGCAGAAGATTGATTTTTTCCCCCTTTTGTGGTTTGGGTTCTGTAGTTTCTGCATCAAAGTGTTGCTCTTTTAAGACTTCTGAAACCATTTTCAATATCTCATGTCTGTCAGATTTTGGAAGGCATTTCAGATTCTTAAACCTTGGGTCGAGTGCTGTAGCTATCTCTAGAAATCTCACATTGCTACCTTCTTTGCATTTTGTCAAATCTGCAACGAAAGTGTTCTTAAAATGAACATGTGCTGAGTCATCATCCAAGACTGCTATAACATGAAATGTATGGCAGAATGCAGGTAAAACAGAGAAGGGGACATAACAATTTTCCGCCAAAGACTTCAGTCACAAATGTAATTAAAGTATTATTTTTTTAATGAGTATCATCAGCATGGAAGCATGTCCTCTGGAATGGTGGCCGAAGCATGAAGGGACATATAAATGTTTACAGTATCTGGCACGTAAATACCTTGCAATACCGGCTATAACAGTGCCATGGAAACTTCTGTTCTCACTTTTAGGTGACATTGTAAGTAAAAAGTGGGCAGCCTTATCTTCTGTAAATGTAAACAAACTTGTTTGTCTTAGCGATTGGCTGAATGAGAAGTAGGACTGAGTAGACTTATAGGCTCTGAAGTTTTGCATTGTTTTGGTTTTGAGTGCAGTTATGTAACAAAAAAATTCTACATTTGTAAGTTGCACTTTCACGACAAAGAGATTGCACTACAGTACTTATGTGAGGTGAATTGAAAAATACTGTGTCTTTTATCATTTTTACAGTGCAAACATTTGTAATAAAAAATAATAGTATACAGTGAGCACTGTACACTTTGTATTCTGTGTTGTAATTGAAATCAATATATATGAAAATGTAGAAAAGCATCCAAAAATATTTAATAAATTTCAATGGGTATTCTATTGTTTAACAATGCAATTAAAACTGCCATTAATTGCGATTTAATATTTTTAATCGCGATTCACTTTTTTAGTTAATCCCATGAGTTAACTGCGATTAATCGACTGTTTTAAATTAATGACTGTATTTAATTCAGGGTAGTACCAGTACATTGTGTCTCTGTGTGACTGAATTTAACTTACATTTATTTCAGGTGTCTTCAGTGTTTGACAAAGAACATTTCCAGATATGTTGCAGATATTAAGCCTTTACCTCCCAACATAAAAGATAAACTGATAAAATTAATGAGTATGCAAGGGCGGATAACTGATTCAAATATCAGTGAGGTAAGAACCTATTCAAAATTCACTTTTGCCTGTCTCTTCACATTCATGCCAGTTTATTACACAGCAAAATATTAAATAATGAGCTCAACTAAAATTATGTATACAGTTCAACAAGTGAGCCCAGGGCCTCGTACTATGTAAACTACGCCTCATTGCTTCCTCCTAATTACTTCTCTTCCTATTTCATATCATGCCATGCCTAATCTTGATTGAGGGGGTTGTGTCTTTTATCTGTGTGTAAAGCTCCATAAATGCCTACAACCCTGCATAAAAATCAAGAAGATGAATATGGACACAAGTCAATGAAAAAGTTTTCTAGTTGACCTGTATATCATCCTGTTTTGGATCAGTTTAATCTGAGGGGATACTGTTGTTCATTGTACACACTTGAGTATAAGATGCTGTGCAATTTATGAGGCGATTCAGAAATAGTAGCACTTTGCACTTTATGTTGCTATCAGTTTCTAATTAAGTTATCTAACTTACATAAATAAGTGTGTAACATGCAAATTAATCTCAGTTGCAAACTCAATGGCCTAATAGCCAAGCAGCATTGTTTTTAAACCTTTCTGCAGAATATCCCCAGCAGGAGTCGTGTTGGATTGCGTCTGTTTCCTGAGGCTGTTGCACAGAATGCTTCCTTTACAATACAGCAGGATCAGCAGATTGACTCTAAGTGTTGGACCACACTGCTGTTTCTTCTGGTAGCAATGGGAAAGCACTATGACAGGAGCGGTTGCCAAAATGGGCTTCTACAAGGTGGTATTTAAATAATGTAAGGTTCTCAAGGAAAATCTGAGATTCTTATAATCTTAGGTGGGCTTTAGGTCTATGATTTAGGATAAAATTCCATTAAATCCTCAGTTCTTTGAAATATGATGGTGAGGTGAGGGCTGTGAGCTCAGTGATTCAAAATTCTCTCATCCCAATTGCTCATTCATGCTTGTCAGTGTACAGGGATGAAATATATTACTGACTTGGCCTCAGTTGTAAATTGAGATGTTTTGACATTTGTATCCTTTTATATCAACTCAGTCTCGAAGGGAGGTGTAAGAATTATGGAAAACGAAAGGTTGACCTTGGTGAAATAGGAATGAACAACTCCCCAGTTCATTCTTGCTTTGATATGTGACTCATGACAGGCAAATACTATCAGTCCCTGAAAGTCAGAATAATGAGACTATGAGGTGAAGGGCAGCGCACCAGAATCGTTGGGAAAAACCGAACAACAAAAACTTCACCTTTAACACACAATATTTCTTGAACTGTAATAAAAAAGAGAGAAAAAATTAAAATTGAGTCAATCTTATACATTGTTGCTTTTAACACGCCTGTTGAATTGCTTTGAGCCATGCAAGGGTCATTTTTGTAGTGAACAAACATTTCTAAGCATCATAAGTGCTTTGCATAATTTTTTCATATGTGATCTGTGCATACATTTGAGTAAAAGCAGTTTACGAAAACTCCAAGCTCCCTCTTTTTTTACCCCATATTCTCTAACAGAGTGTCTCCTTCTTTGCCTCTTTCTGGTCTCAGCCTTAATCTGCTTCTCTTGGAATCTCTTTTCTCCTTATACTTTCAGTACTCCTGTTCTCTTCCTTCAGCAGTTCCTGTTTCCCTTTCCTGCTCTGTTAATATCCCCAGGGTTCTGTCTTTGGTCCTATCCTCCTTGTCATGTAAAGTGCACATTAACCTTCAATGCTGACAGCTTCTGAATCTACCATTCCCGTCTGGTTTCAGAGTAGCAGCCATGTTAGTCTGTATCTGCAAAAAGAAAAGGAGGACTTGTGGCACCTTAGAGACTAACCAATTTATTTGAGCATGAGCTTTCGTGAGCTACAGCTCACTTCATCAGATGCATGCAGTGGAAAATACAGTGGGGAGATTTTATATACACAGAGAACATGAAACAATGGGTGTTACCATACAGACTGTAACAAGAGTGATCAGGTGAGGTGAGCTATTACCAGCAGGAGAGAGGAGGGGGGAAGGGGGAACCTTCTGTAGTGATAATCAAGGTGAGCCATTTCCAGCAGTTGACAAGAACGTCTGAGGAAGGGGGGTGGGAATAAACATGGGGAGATAGTTTTACTTTGTGTAATGACCTATCCACTCCCAGTCTTTATTCAAGCCTAAGTTAATTGTATCCAGTTTGCAAATTAATTCCAATTCAGCAGTCTCTCATTGGAGTCTGGTTTTGAAGTTTTTTTGTTGAAGAATTGCGACTTTTAGGTCTGTAATCGAGTGACCAGAGAGATTGAAGTGTTCTCTGCCTGGTTTTTGAACGTTCTAATTCTTGATGTCTGATTTGTGTCCATTTATTCTTTTACGTAGAGACTGTCCAGTTTGACCAATGTACATGGCAGAGGGGCATTGCTGGCACATGATGGCATATATCACATTGGTAGATGTGCAGGTGAACGAGCCTCTGATAGTGTGGCTTATGTGATTAGCCCTATGATGGTGTCCCCTGAATAGATATGTGGACACAGTTGGCAATGGGCTTTGTTGCAAAGATAGGTTCCTGGGTTAGTGTTTTTGTTGTGTGGTTGCTGCTGAGTATTTGCTTCAGGTTTGGGGGGCTGTCTGTAAGCAAGGACTGACCTGTCTCCCAAGATCTGTGAGAGTGATGGGTCGTCCTTTAGGATAGGTTGTAGATCCTTGATGATGGTTTTAGTTGGGGGCTGAAGGTGATGGCTAATGGCGTTCTGTTATTTTCTTTGTTGGGTCTGTCCTGTAGTAGTTAACTTCTGGGTACTCTTCTGGCTCTGTCAATCTGTTTCTTCACTTCAGCAGGTGGTTATTGTAGTTGAGTGTTGTATCTTTGATGGTCTATCTCTTCTTGGATATCCAAATGCCAGTTCAAATTCCCACAACCCCTCGCTCTCCATCCTCTATTATTCTTCTCATATCTTTCTCACTCTGATAATTCCAGTATTTCCCCATTACCCTGACTCACAACTATGGCTTATATTTGACTCCTCATTTTCTCCTTTCCCCACATCCAGGATGTCACAAAATCCTGCCTTTTCTTAATTTACAACATTTCTATGAGCTGTTCTCCCTTCTTCACTTCTACTTCTACATTTTTTTGCCCATAACTTGATCATCTTTTTTCTTCACTCCTATATCCCCCTTTCTGCCTGTTGCCTTGCTCCCCTATAGCCCATCCAAAATGTTGCTGCTCAGTATCTTCTCCCACCCCCACTCCTTTGCTGGCTTCTCATCTTCTCCATCAAGTTTAGACTTCTTGTCCTTGCATTTACAGCCCTTCAGTTTCACTTCTGTGTATTTTTCTATTCCATCTCTTTTCTCTCCGCTCTTCCTCAAGATTGGCTAACATTACCCCCATTGTGTCATCCTTCTGCTCTTGATTTAATCCGTCCATGTTGCCGCCTATGCTTGGAACAGTCTCTCATGTCATGTATGCCAATCTCTTCTTTCAGTCCCACCTTTACAATACACTTCTGTGAAGCCTTTTAGTGTTGCTTTATAAAATTAAAAATTTGCATTGCCTCAGGAATTAATCTTCATCTAGTGTATTATGTGCCTGAACTATTTCTATCTAGCTTAGACCATAAACTGCCTGAAGGGAAAAGTGGTCCCTGCCTCATGCATTGTATGGTGCTGAGCACACTCATATTCAGTAAATATTACCTAGTAAAGCTGAGTGGAAAGCAGAAACTGATATTATTTGGTTACATTTAAACATGCTTTACATGCAGAAATTTTCACAAAAACAGCCCACAATGACTTTTTGGTTTTCATTATCTCTTATGTGAATTGAAATGTCACCTATTGCATTTATCACTTCTCCAAAAATATGTCTATACATGTCTGTACCTGCAGTGCAGTAAAGGTTTCGTGGAAAAACTATAGTTTGTAGCGCAAAGCTATAAAGTTTGTTTCAAGCAGCAAAATAAATAATGCAACCAAAGAGGGATGGGGGCGGCTGGGGACAGAAAGGGGAGAGATATTTTAGGTATGATTCAGAAATCTTAATGATATAAGACTTTAATGCGAGTTAGATAAGAGATTGTTCATACTGCTAATGTATGAAGAACTGAAAAAGTAAATGAAAATTGTTACCAATTTGTTGCCACATTTAGTAAAGTTTGAACTTGATAATCAAAGAGAGCTGAGGATCAGTCAGCTTGATTGGATTTTTTTAGATAATTAGTTAGCACATAACAGAGTAAGTTACCACAGTCTGTGAGAACCAATCCAGTGACAGGTAGACCGCGCTCTTTGTCTGCTTCTAAATTTGGATGAGGGCTTAACATGCTTATAGAGGAGCTGGGTATAGTTTCAGTCTCAGTATTTGCATACTTTTATTTTACAGACAGACATTATTTTCAGCACATTTTCCAATAAATTTCTAATTATACAATTCGATATCTGTTATTTAAACTTATATCTTTTCGTAAATCCATCAAATTTTGCTAATGTAAGCACCCACACTTCTTTTTTTAGTACAGTATGTTGTTAAAAGTACTTATTCCTTCTAACAGGCTAGCACTGCCTTGTCTTAGCATGACTCCCAAGGCATCATGGAGAGGTATGGCTCAGGGGCAAGCTATAGGCCTTATAAAGTCTGGCTCAGAGGTCAACAAAACTACAGTAGTGGTATGATTATAGGTGTTGAAATCTAAAACCCAGTTTCGCATGGTGGCCAACTAATAAAGTGTATCCTGGCCATGTCTGGGAATCAGAATTTGCTTATGTAATACCAGAGTTATCATACATGTCTGTGCCTTATCACTACAGATTGAAGAAAGAATAAGTTGATGGAAAAGTTGGGTAATCCTTCTTTTTGTCTTTTCCCAGTTTGAGTATTGGTCTGGATTACATCTCACCATAGGTGCTGATTGTGTGTGTGGTGAGGACATTCTGATTGGAAGACCGGTGGTATATCTTGTTAGATAGTACAGGTTGAACCTCTCTTGTCTGGCACTCTGGTCTGGCAACATCCGTGGTCTGGCATGATTTTATTTTATTTTTATTTTTATTTTATGTTTTTTATGCTTTATCTCCTTATTTCCTTGTGCCAGTACAGTAAAATTGTGTCACAACACTAACACTTTGTTATGAAGAGAGCCGGTAAGCCTTGGCTAGCGGCATTGCCAGCGTTGTTCTTTTTATTTGCCTTGGCAAGATAAAAATAAAGAGACCCGCTCACTACTATATTGACCTCACGTGGTTTGGCAAATTCTCTGGTTCGGTACTGGTCAGGTCCCGAGGGTGCCGGACTAGAGAGGTTCAACCTGTAGTGATGTTCTGCGGGGGGTGAAATTTAAAAAGGTGGTATATGTAGCACCCCTCCCCCACATGAAGCTGATGTTAAAGTATCAGACCTTCCATTGCCTTGGATCTTATTTTTATAAGACCTCTGCTTGGGGCCCCACAAGAAAGCCAACCTACAGTCCTGTGGGATTGAGGAGGCTTAGTTAATGGGGAATGAATGCCTTTTGGTCCTCAAAATGTTAGCGGTTGTGTGTGTTTCTGAATGCATGTGAGTCTGCGTGCAAGAGAGTAAGACAGCAAGATCAAATGGGGTCAAGTATTTTGAGATTTTATTGGCATCTGTTAGACAAAGGGACTTGTGTGTCTGGGAGCCAAAGAGCGGAAACGTTGTAGCTGGTTGTTGCCAGAAGTGCCTGTAATGGGCTTTTGTGTGTGATTAGATTAATTTCTTATTTGAATGATAAGAATTGATCATACATAGAAACTGGACTGCTCTCTAACCCCAGGAGTTGTTCGTCACCTCAGAGTTGTGTACATTCTGTAGAGAGGATTTCATTTCCCAGGCTGTTAACCTGGCACCTTTCAAAAGAACATTTTTAAAAGTCATATGTAATTTCTAACGCAGTAATCACAGATTCAATGTGCATATTTGTGCTACACCATGTATAATTTGATGGAAATACTGTGCTTGCATTACAGGTGCTGCACCCAGCGGTGGAAACGCTAGATCTTAGAGACTGTGATATTTCAGATACTGCCCTGCTGCAACTTTGTAATTGCAAGCAACTGAAAAAAATTAACTTAAATTCTTGTAAAGAAAACAGACTAGCCATCACTTCAGAAGGTATGTTTCCTGTACAGATAGAATTTGAATCTACCTTCTGTTTTCTTTCTTTTCGTTGGGAGAGTTGGAGTAAATTGTGAAAGCAATTAGAGTATATATGATATTAAATACACACGTTGGCGAAGTCATTTTAATCAATTACACACAGAAACACTACACTCCTCAGGAATTTGTTTAAGTTCATGTTGCTTGGTTAAAGTAAATTCTTAGTAGAGCTAGTAAAAAAATTTTTAGCAGACTATTTCCATCAGAAAATGCAGTTTTGTCAAAATCCAAATATTTTGCTGAAAGTGTCGATTTCAACAAACTTTTCCATAGAAAAGCGTTGAACTGTTTTGACTATCATTTTATATCGATAACATCAAAATGTTTAATTTTGACTTCTTTGTTGTATTTAAACTTTTATTTTATCATATTTATATTGGTTTGACATTATCAAAATGATTCAGTTTCCTAAAAAAAAAAAAAAAATTTTTTTCTGTAAATTTCAAAATTTCAACCTTTTATTACAATTTAAAATGAAAACACATTTTGAAATGTCAGAATTCCCTGCAGAATTGAAATTCTGTTTTCTGACCAGCTCTAATATTTAAAAATTTTTATAAAGCGGTAAGGTGAAATTCTGGTTCCACCAGTCAGTGGCAAAACCCCCGTTGTCTTCAATGGAGTCAGGATTTTACCTGTATATTGCATTAATCAAAAAAGAATTTGAAGATAAATAAGAAATTATAGAATCTGATACACCAGATACTTTCTTTTGCCTATAGTCTCCCTCTGGTTCATATGACAGAAAGTCCAATAACCACAGCTGCCTGTTTTTCAGTTTATTTAGAAAATATGGTTGCCCTAAGTTGCTTCCAGATAAGGTTATTAGCAGTTTCTCTTACTACTTGCTTTCTTGTTTTCCTGGATTTCAGCTACAGAAGAATCTGGCATCCTCCACATGGTTTTGTTTTGATAAGAGACTTTTATCAGAGGATGTGTTCCTGTCCAGGTTGTTCTTCTGCTTTTAGATTCTTTGTTGTCTGAAAGCCCAGTATAAACTGTATAACATTTTATTTAAGTTTAAAATGTAGCATTACTTAAAATTTATGAACTAATAACCATAGAATTGTGGCCCAGCAATTGCTTCTGCATAATGGGTCCCTGTGTCTGTGTGGGCCCCAGCATCTATTATGGCTAAGCCCTACCAAATAACATCACAATTTTGTACTTTGGTTGATGTATTGCAGGGTGATCCTGTAACAATTGATGGGTAAGTGATGTTTTTTTGAGTTTGAATTCATTCAGTAATTAAAGAGACCTCATATAACTCAGCTTGATTGAGTTAATAACAGTTGTTAGTCATTGCATAACAGAAAGGTGTACCTTACCAAAATCTGGAAGACGAAGCCCTGTAGCCGATTACAGTTCGATTTTTTTATACTGTCTGGTTCTGTTATGTGCCTACAGCTTTGCATACTTGATAATGTGCTCTTCAGCCTAGCAGAAAAAGGTATAACATGATTCAATGGCGGGAAGCCAAAGCTAGACAAATTCAGTCTGGAAATAAGGTGTAAAATTTTAACAGTGAGGATACTTAACAATTGGAACTACATGCTCACAGTCCCTTCTGGCTTTGGAATCTATGAATGTTATTTCTACCTTAGCTGTTTACATTCTTATTATTTCCACTTTTCAACATATAATTTTCATTATGTTTAGTAAATTATACTGTTTACTTATGTCCTTTTGGTGGTCACATTACATTTTGTTAACTCAAACATTGGTTTGTACAATGTTTATAAAATTGCTTCCTAAAAATATTCTATTCTGCACATAACTATTCTTACAAAAATATTGCAAAGGCATAGGCAACACGTTTTGGGGGGGCATGTGGAGTCACATCCCCCTCCCCCAGATTTCTGCCAGGGTGGGAGTTGGGCTGAGCGCGACTGAGAGGGATGTGCCTGGGAAAGGCACCGACAACATGCACTCCCTTTGAGCCCTGGTAGGTGGCACCCAGAGAAGGGAAGCAAGATCAGGCTGGCAACAGGCTCAACGGTGGAGCTGCCTGAGGTGCAGGCGAGGCTGCAGATGGGGGCTCAGGGCAATGGCGTGGGGAGGGGAGCAGTGGGGCCAGAGGGGCTGGGAAGCCCAGAGGAGGCAATGGAGGCCTGGGGCAGTGGGAGGTGGGGTGTGGAGCCCAGGGGAGGAGGCAGCAGGGGCCAGGGGTGAGGGCCGGGGGGGGCACCTGGGGGAGGCAGCAGGGGCCAGGGGCAATAGTGAGGCGGGAATACAAGTGCAGTTCCCCTGAAACTCTACAATGATATTTTATTTCATTTTTTCCAAAGTACTTAAATGTTCTTATGTCCAAGGACTCTAGCCGTTGCCTGAACATAAGCGCCGACTCCATGGGTGCTCCGGGGCTGGAGCACCCATGGAAAAAATTAGTGGGTGCTCTGCACCTACCGGCAGCCAAGCCACATACTGCCCCTCCTCCAACTCCACTGTCTCCTTCCTTGGGCTGCTTCCCCGCAGCCCCAGCACCTCCTCTGTCCTGAAGAAGTGGGGTTTTTACCCACAAAAGCTTTTGCCCAAATAAATGTGTTAGTCTTTAAGGTGCCACCGGACTCCTCATTATTTTTGTGGATACGGACTAACACGGCTACCCCTCTGATACTTGGTCCTCTGCCCTTGTATCAGGACCTCAGTTTGGTAGCTGTCAGCCTGGAGCTTTCTCATACTCTGCTGACCCTGCCCAACACTGCTCTGTCCATGGTGCTCCAGCCCTCTAAGCAGCCAGTCCACCTCCCTGAACTCCAGGGAGTGACTGCCTCTGCTCTGCTCAGCAGCCCCTTCTTATATGAGCCAGCCTGGCCCTGATTGGTTCTTCCAATAAACTTTCCCCTAATTGGCTGGCACTACAAGCCTTTTCTTTCTGCCTCCTGTGTAGCCTCCCTTACCTACCAGTGAGAGGCAGCCGCCCCATCACAGTCTGGATTCCAGATACATTCATTCTATTTCAATGTTAAAAGGAGTATTAGCCTTAACAAAATGAAAACGTATATAAAGAGCAGATATTAACAATATACAATTTAAAAACAAACAAAAAAAAACTAAACCAAATTTCCTGTAGATGGGGGGGAATGATGTGAAGTTGGAAATGGGCATAGGGTGGTCAAAACTAGATTGATGAGTTTTTTTGTTTTTTTTTAATAATAAAGAATCTGGAGTTCATGGGCAATGGATCCTGCTTTTTCAAGGTATCCCAGAAATTTAGTCCAGACTATGATAGATTTTTGCATATATTTCATTCCCCCAAGAACACACTTTCTCTATTGCCACATTATTCCAAATTGTGAGAGGTCCAAAATGGAAAAGAGTTGTACTTTTCCACTTAAAGGTAAATTTTCCACACTCAGATGTTCAGTGAGAGTCAAGACAAGGACTAAGCAAAGAAGCAGAGGACAATATTTAAAAAAAAAAAAAAAAAATTTTAGGACTTTTATATCGATTATCTTCGTGATACGTGGTTTGAACTGTTGAACAAAAAGGATGGAAATTGGGTTTCAACCACCACAGTTGAGACAAAAAGAAAAGGAGTACTTGTGGCACCTTAGAGACTAACCAATTTATTTGCCACAAGTACTCCTTTTCTTTTTGCAAATACAGACTAACACGGCTGTTACTCTGAAACAGTGGAGACAACAATTCATCGTGACCACAGCAATTAGGAGACAAGACTGGATTAAATGCATGAAGTCAGTTCGGGGAAGACTGATATCCAAGGTTTTAATCTGGTTATTAGAAATAGAACATGTCTTCCTAAATATTTTAAAAGAAATTGTGTCTGTTTCAGTGCCTATAACTGTGGGCTTTTAGATATAATATATGTATAATTGATTTATAGTACTAGTACTCTTCTGCCTTCACTTTCCCCAACATGTTCTACTGTCAAGTGGCAATGGAATGGCCCCCTGCTCAGCGAAGCAGCCTCCTTAAATAAAGTCTCTTCACCTCAAATACACCAAGAAATCGGTTATCTACAGCCAGGCACTCTGGTACCATGGAATATGCTCCTAGGAGAAAGTCCAGTATACACACCTTAACACACTTTAAAACTGCCTTCACCAAACAAGGACGCTCCACCAGAGAGGTAGATCACATCATGGAAAGGGTCATCTAAATACCCCAAGAGAATCTGCTTCAGTACAGAAATAAATCCCTCATCAGCTGCACACCCTTAGTTCTCATCTACCACCCAGCACTGGAACCCGGACAGGGCATCATTAAACAATTACAGCCCATACTTGATGGGGACCACAACCTGAAAGAAATCTTTCCTGAACCCCCTTTTCTGGCAGTCAGAAAATACCCCAGCTACTACTCCATGCTCATCAGCAGAAGCAAGCTACCCACAAACAAGGACACGCCAATCAAAGCAGCACCAGACCCTGCCAGAATAATATATGCAAAACGTGTGTAGACAAATCTCTACTGCTAAGATGGTCAACACCCTCCACAACACACCATGCAAGATCTAGGAGTCCTACATATGCCTGCCACATGGGGTGGTGCACGAAATGCTCCAGTAATAACTATGTGGCTGAAACAAGACAATCAATACAGTCGTGACTGGACTCACACAGGGAAATGATAAAAGACAACCGCACCCTACTACCTGTGGGTGAACACACTTTTCACTTTGTAGCTGACCCCTCACTCCTCGTTTTCAAAGGACATTTGCAAAAATTGAGCGTGGGAGCTTACATTCATAACTTTGCGAGACCCTAAGAACCATGAACTGAACAGGGACACGGGATGTATGGCTTATTTCAACCATCTGTAACCTACTAACACTCCCCCATGGCTGGAGGGATGTAAATGGGCCACTTCGCCTTGAGTGGTCCCTTGAAATATGTGCTAATTACGGACGCTAAACGATCTGTTCCACCTTGTATTTTAGCTCTGACATTCTGAGTACGTTTCCCAGACCTGAAGAAGAGCTCTGTAAGCTC